ATTATTATATTATAATATATATAATATAATATACATATATATATACTATATTATATATAATAAATATATGTCCGTTCGCGATCTCTCTCCCTTCGCCTCCTCTCTATCTTTCGCTCTCTCTTCTCTCTTTCGCTCTCTCGTGTGTGAGAGAGAGAGAGAGCGCGAGAGAGGGCGAGCAGCTGCGGTGGTGCCACCTACCGGTCATCGTGAACACGCCGACGATCATGCCGATGTTTCTTCCGGCCAACATCACATCCTCACTGTCCGCAGTCACGCCCGTCTGTTTAGCCTTGCGCGACGCCCACAGCCCTACGACGAGGATCAACACGTAGAAGACGATGATCCCGATTAGACCGACGACGTTCAGCGCCATCTTGTGGTCGTTGTGCGAACCTGCGAAAAAAAAATCACGAGAAAGGCGTGGATATCGACGAATGCCAGGGGGATGCAATTAAATTAAATTGCAACGTTGCAATTGAGAAGCACTGCGCGTGGCAATCTATTGATGCGCTTGTCATGCGAAATACAGAGAACAAAACTGTACGTAGATGTATAAGGATATCGCGACCGACTTCCTATACGTGTGCTGATGACTAATTACGAAAGAGTTTTTTCTCCTCGAAACGAAATATCTATTATCGTTGAACAAAGTGCACGGTCATCGTCTCCAATCTTACTCTAGACCCTCGCATATATGCAAATTAGCCTCATTAAGCGAGGTTTTTTTGATGAGGCGTAATTAAGAAGCGCGTGTACACGCTAATTGATGATCGACGCAAAGATGGCGACTGTTCACGTGACAATGAGGCTAATCCGTGAAACACTAGAGCATTCTTTTCTGATTTCTTTTTGCTGTCTCCATCTCGCCCTCCCTCTCTCCCCTCTATTCCTATCCTCTCTTCCCTCTCCGCCTCTCTCGCTATCTTCCTCTCCTTTTCTCCCCCTCTCCCGCCCTCCTTTTTCCCCCTCTCCCCATTCCCGTCCCCCCTCTCCCCCTCTCCACCTCTCCCCCTCTTCCCTTCTCCCGCTCTCCCACTCTTGCGCTAT